ATCATCAAAGAACAAGGGGATAACTACCTGGAGCATCAAAAGTGTCAGCAGACGTGTCAACTAATGCTACGTCTCCCAGGCCCTCAGTGGAATTGGAAGTCACCTGTTAATATAATAAAGAAAATAAAGCTGCACAATACCTCAGCCTGCTTGAAGGTCTCTTTCGGACTGTTCGACTTTCTTTTTTGATACTTGCGTTTCTTGGTGCCTAGAGGGTCCCTCTCCGTGGCACCACTTCCCAAATCAGGTGTAGAAACCTCGTCTGAAAGCACTATAGGAGACAAGTGTTTACTTCCCGAACTAGTGTTCAAACTGTGCACGGAGGGGCAGCCGGTGGGTGAAGTAACTACGGCATCACGTGGAGAAGCAGTATCAGACGTCTGTTCCATCTAAATAGAGAAGTAAAGCAACTTATGCGATGTCTTGCCTTCTGCATACTGTCTGAATCTAAATTCGTCTCGTTTGACAATCGAGAAAGTGACGGCAGATACGCAGACATAAAATCTTCGCTGGTCATGGCTTCGCAGTCCTGCTGGACAGAGTTTATCACTGCTTCAAGGTTCCACATAACATCGTGGTCTTCTGTTAGCTTTCTGGGTTTTTTTACAAGCGGTGCCCCTGTCTCAGCCTCAGGATTGTCCATCGGTTTGGCTAAAATGAACATTATGACTAAAACTGCACTGTTGTAACAAACCGCAATGAGCACCTTTGCTACCTGCAGTGGACCACTTCTTTCTTGGCGATTGTTCCTCCTTAAAGTATTTGAGTGCGAAAAAAAGAACAAATTATTAATCATCTTAAACTCTAATGGAAAACATAGTTGAAGGGACGCTAACATTGTAGAGAAGCACCAATGCGGGGCGCCAGAGACTTCAGTGGTCGAGAGCAGACTCGCATTAACTCATCATCTGTCGTCAAAGGCTAGCAAAGTACTAGAAAGGTAGTACAAACAGAGACCCGTTCATATCTATAAAAGCGTGAAGCTGCATCCCTACTGGTTGTGTACAGAATTAACGGCCAATAGGGTTTCTGTTCTCGGTTTAGACGAAACTAAATTATAGTCCTCACCACGACACCCTATGATCGCGGTGTACGCTGTCTTCCAAACAAACCCCAGCGTGAAGGAGCGGATACGAATATAACCAAATTCTGAAGTGGTTCGTAACCACTACAGATCCCTGTTGCATCCCGCTTTTTGGGAGCCATTCTTGTCGGACGGCAATGTGGCACCTTCCCAAAGGTATAAGAGCCCGCCGTACTACAGGCTGTTTTACGCTAAATGACGGCGCGTGTCTGTTCTGGTGTGCTGACTTTAACCTTAAAACTAAACACAACACTAACTAACACTGCCTTCCTTAACCCTAAACCCATTCCAAACCGCAACCATCCTGAAATGTGACCCAAGACCACCTGCAGTACGTGGATATTTATAATAATGCCCAATCCCCAGAGATCATATGGTACAAATTTAAAGCCCCTTTAGGTTATTCCGTTAAAATGGAACTTCTACTTTCATGAATCTCTGACGGTGATAACTGGTTATCCGGATTGATAGAAAGAAAGTCCTGATATAATAAATCGAACCTGTTAACCCTGACGTTTCGTGCTCTTAGAGCATCATGCGGTTATCAGTTTCAAAAAAGTGGTGTTTGCTCAAGAAACCCCCCTCCAACAATACCGTTTGTCTTGCAATGGCATGCGATCATAGACTGCCTTAGCAACCTCAATCTAACACACAACTACTATAGGATTTCGTGGATTACATATGAGAATAAAGGCGTCCTGACTACCACAGATAAAAGTGCTAGCTGCCGCCCGGTTTGAACTTTCAGCCTATTCAATGATGCGGACACCTGTACGCAT